GGGAAAAACAAAGTCGTGAGGACGCGGCGGGAGGGGGCAGCGGGAGGAATGAGTGAGACGCGGGGCGTTGTCTCTTCATTTTTCAACACTTATACAAAATTGTTACAAAACGGGCTTCGCGCGAGCGCATGTAGAAAAACCAAATGCCCCAACAACATTCAAAAACACATGGTTTCGCAACGTTTAGTTTCACATAAAATCTTGCGCGCGCGCTCCTGCTTGTTTGCCAATAGGGTTTCTGGCGCCGCGTGCCGACATCATTCGCACGCCCTTGGGCGCGTGCTCGGGTGGAGGGGCGAGACCCGTGTCACATAAAACTATGCGAGCTACTCTCGCGCGTCGGCCACGCGCACATGGCGAATAATTTCCAAAACTTTCATCACCGACGCGAGGGCGCCGTCATTGCCCCCGGCGTGATCAGCATCGGCGCCCGCACTGGCCGCGCCGTCATCGATGTAAACATCGTCACCAACATCGCTACTACCACCATCGTGTCTACCGTCGTCGACGTTGCCATGGTACCGCGCCCGATCAAGTAGCCGACTCGCACTGAAATGCCCGCTGGGATGTGCCCAGCGGTCAGCGCCACCGCGGCCACGTCGGTGGCGCCAAACTCGGTGGCCGCCGCGCGCGCGCTAGGGTCGGCGCGGCCGCAGAGATGGACCATCCAAGCGCTCATCGCAATCGCCACCGCATGGGTTTTGCAAACCAAGTTGTGGGCGGTTGGGTGGGATGATTGCGCAAGCAGTGGAGGTGGTCAAGCGCGGTTCAGGGTAGTCAGTTCTCGGTTTTGAACAGAGAATCGACTCTACCACCTCTGGGATTATCCGTTCCCGGCTTCGCATTGCAAATTACATACGATTGTGCCCCATCGTCCATCCCAGATATCAGCCAGCGCTGACTCCATGTAATTAGATAGGAGGACAGGAGGAGGATAACAGAAGGATGGGAGGCGGACGAAAGGAGGACGGGAGCAGGACGGGAGGAGAACGGCAGGAGCAACATCAAGCAAGCGCAAGCAAGCGCAAGCGAGCAAGCAACCAAGAGCGAACAATAACAAGCAAGCAAGAGCCAGCGATCAAGTAAAAGTAAGCAAGGGCAAGCAGTAGCAAGCAAGCAAGAGCAAGCACGCAAGAGCAAGCAAGCAAACGCCATTGGAAAAAAGGGGGGGCATTGGAAAAAGGGGGGGTCCCTTTGGAAAAAAGAGGGGCGAGAGACCAATTGCTTATGATGAGCGAGGACTCCTATAGGGCAAGCCTCTTCTGGATAATATTAGGAGCGAGAACCATCCGAGCCAAACCGGTATTCCCCCCCGCCATCCTCGGCAAAATACCAATGCGCGCGCATTCGTTTATCAACAATCATCAATTTCCGAGGATCCCTTGCAACAAATGCGACGAAGTGCACACTCGCGCGTCGTCGCGCGCGCATGCTAGCTCGCGCTCTTTCAAATTCGTATTAAAAAATGTGTTCCACATGTCCACCGGATGTTTCCAAACAGGCTTCGCGCGAGCATGTCGAAATCATTCGAACGCCTGTGCGCGCGTGCCGTCGAGAGATTCCTTTGCAAACAACGGAACGAAATGCACGCGCGCGTCGTTGCGCGCGCATGCCGGAATCCGTCAAGCATGTCGGTTTCGTAGCGGTTGCACGACCGACTGTCCATAACACATATCGAAACACACGGTTTCGTAACATCACTTTTCAAAAAGCGAGCGCTCGCGCTCTTGCGAATTCTGAAGAGAGCCATCGGCTTCTCACCACTTTCAAAGAATTCTGCCACACGGCCTCTGGCGCCGCATGCCGACAACATTCGCACGCCCATGCGCGTGCGCTGGGGGGGCATGTTCCGTGTCAAAAAATACCATGCGGACCACTCTACTGCGCTGGCCGCGCGCGTATGTCGAACTTGTTCCAAAACCCTCATCGCCGACGCGAAGACGCCGTCATCGTCGTCGGCGTGATCAGCATCGGCGCCCGCACTGGCCGCGCCGTCGTCGTTGTCAACATCGTCACCAACATCGCTACTACCATCATCGTGCGGCCGCGTCGGTCGCGCCAGACTAGCTTGCCGCTGCGCGCGTGTGCTTGGGTTCGCGCGGCCGAAGAAATGGACCAGCCAACGTCAAACGCTCATCGCAATCGACACCACATGGGTTTTGCAAACCAAGTTGCGGTGGGGTTGGTGGAATATTTGAAAGAGCATGGGATGTGTCAACTTGTTGAAAGACAATTGCACCACATAAATTGCCCCACAAAGCTTGCACCACATACGTGGCATAACATAGGTTACAAGACATATCGCGCTACAAACACACTGTTTGGGGTCCACGCTTTCAAATATATACTGTGCGGGCGCGGCCACAAGAAACCCTCGCAAGAAACCCAAGCCTGAAAACCAGCGCGCGAGGTATACCTGAGGGGAAACCCGGAGCACCCTGAACGCAGCAGCTCCTTCAACGGCTGCGGGAAGTCAACGCGCAGCGCGAGAAGCGAAGAAACCCAGGATACACTGACGAATAGCAGATGATTTCTTGATGTGCGCCCCTATTGTATGTTTATCCCTGCCAACCGATCACCGGTAGACTTTCGGATAGGACGCATCGTGCGACACGTGCTCGCGCATCGAAGTGGGCAAGCAATATCTCGATCGGTTGCCTGACGGACCGTAAGCTGAACTCGAACCGACGCGAAACACGCGCATGGGCAATACTCACATCATGACACGGCCTAGTCAAGGCTGGGCATATCATGCGGGCACACGCGGTACGCACACTCGGGAATGGGTCTTGCTGTACTAGGTCTACGAATCTAGGACACATTCTTCGTCCACCGTGGGCTCCTGGGGGTAACAAGACGGTGCTGTGACAGACCGTGCGGCGACCTCGAAATCCCGAGAGACCTCACCGCACGATCTGTGGGACCTTTTGGAGGCCCCAACCGAACGAGATATCCTCGGAGAGCTACCCACGTCTCAAAACCGTGCGGTCATCCCGACCCCACACTGACTCACGACACCGTGTGGTCACCACACCGTTTGGCCCCTGTGCGTCGTGATGTGCAGTAGAGCGCGCTGCTGGCCCACCGGGAGCAAGGAAGTTCTCTCGGGGCGACCGTGGGCGGGTCAGCTTCTTCGTCGGTGTGCCTGTTGCTCGTAGGAGGAGGAAGAGGAGGAGGAGGAGGAGGAGGAGGAGGAGGAGGAGGAGGAGGAGGAGGAGGACGAGGAGAAGGAGGAGGAGGAGGAGGACGAAGAGGAGGAGGAGGAGGAGGAGGAGTAGGAGGAGGAGGAGGAGGGAGTGATGAACAGCAGTAGCTCAGCTGTGCATAGCACCGCCGTGCCCGCGCATTCCGAAAGGCGGGAGGCCTGGGACCGCCGCACGTCCTCCTGTCGCTCCGTCCGTCGTCCCACTCCCCTGCAGCACCGGGATAATGTCCTCTGCCTCCATTCTCCATCCTCCCTCCCCCCATGCTCCCTCCTCCCTCCCTCCTTCTCTCTCCCCCCCTCCCTCATCCCCTCTGTTCTCATTCCCTCCCTTCTCTCTCTCCCTCTCTATCTCTCTTTTTCTCAATTTGTTTTGTTTTGTCTCTGCTCTTTTTTTTTTTTTCTCTCTCTCTCTCTCTTTCTCACACCGTCTCCCTCTTCAAATCTCCCTCTCACTCTCCCTCTTTAGATCTCCCCCTCCCTCTCCCTCTCCATCTCCCTCGTCCTCCTCCTCCCTCCCAACCCCTCCTCCTCCTCCTCCTCCTCCTCCTCCTCCTCACCCCCGCCCCCACCCCGTCCTCCCCCCCCTCCCCCCCCCCCCCACACACACACACACACATCCCTCATCCCTCCTCCTCCTCCTCCCCCTCCTCCTCCTCCTCCTCCTCCTCCTCCTCCTCCTCCTCCTCGTTCGTCATACCTACTCCCCCCTGCTTCCACCTCATCCCCGTCTTTCCTCCTCCCTCCGCTGCCTGCCCCCGCAGCACCCGCGCAGCGTCGGACGGCAGGGCAGCAGGGAGAGGGGGCCGGCAGACGTGAGCGTGACGCCCCCCAAAGCGCGGAGCTGCACGCGGCCTCCCGGACGGACTGCTCGGCATGGGCAGGACTGGGCTTCGCGAGACCTTGCTTAGTGGTGTGTGCTTTGGGACGCCTCTACTCTGCAAGAACTGTCTTTTTCAAGGCAGATCTGCCTTCCCAAAAAATATATTTCTTGAAGGTAGATCTGCCTACAGCAAAACCGTTCTTACAGAGTAGGCCAATGTTTTTCCTGAAGGCAGATCTGCCTTCAACAAAAACCGTGCTTACAAAGAGGACCAGTCTGTCCTCCTTGCAGGTAGGATTGCGAATCCCGCCACCACTAATCGGAACTGTCATCACGCGAATAAGCATACGCTACGGCAGACCCGGTTCAGCGATTCCGGCGTATGTGTTGGCCTCGGGCCCTATCACTAACTGTCCCCCCTTACCCGAGGCCCTGGCTATACCCGACGTTGGACGAACGGCTCGGAACTCGCAAGAGGATGCCAGCCGGGTGCTGCCAGAGATGTCCCTGACCCAAGGTGGCCTAAGGCTTTCCATGGAGGCCCCCTTGGCCTCCAGGGCACCCCTCACGAGGCCCAGAAGACCCCAGGTGCTCCAGAATGGAGCGGGAAGCTGGGGACGCCTGGGGAAGAAGAAATGTGGGTGTTGCCTGAAGTGCCTCTGCCCCAAGGTGCCCCCAGGACTTCCCAGGAGGCCCCCATTGCCTCCAGAGCACCCCTCAGGAGGCCCCGAGGGCCCCACGGGCTCCAAAATGGAGCGAAAAGCTGGGAGCACCTGGGGCTAGGGAGCCCCCGAGAATGGGGAAGAGGATTTTCCATGCGCTGGACTTTGCCTGCCGTCTGCGCACAAGCGCCCTGGAGGTGGACATTTCGAGCCATGCATTGGCGGCGCGCAGAGGGGGGTAGGGGGAGGGGGAAGGCTTCTTAGAAGGAGGCTGCTTCTCAGAAGGCGCGGGCCTTACTTACATCTACAGACAAGGGCCGCGCCTTCTAAGAGGTAGGGGTGCTTCTAAGAAGCCTTCTCCCCTCCCTCTACCCCCTCTGCGCGTGGCCGAATGCAGGTGTGAAGCACACGAGCGCCCGCCCGAACACAGCATGCCGCATCCTGACCCCAACACTGACGACGGCATGGCTTCGCCATCCCAGCGCAGGCTGGGCTCTGCCGGAGCCGCTCGGTGGTTCACCCTGCCAGCTTCTCGTGCGCGTTCAAGCGCCGCTTCTCGTGGGCGGCGTTCTCGCATCCGACGGCCTCGCTGTCGCAGCACCAGGCCTTCTTCTCCCGAGACCAGCCCTCCTCCCAGTTCGCGAGGCCGGCAGCGCAGTCAAAGGGCTCCACGGTAGTGTCCTCAGGGCACGCGACGCCTTTGCTGTCGCAGCACCAGGCTTTCTTCTCGGGGGACCAGCCCGCCCCCCAGTTCGCGAGGCCGGCCTCGCAGTCAAAGGGCTCAGTTGTGGTGTCCTCGCAAGCAACGCCCTGCCTGTCGCAGCACCATGCCTTCTTCTCTGGAGACCAGCCCGCCTCCCAGTTCGCGAGGCCAGCTGCGCAGTCAAAGAGCTCCGTGGTGGTGTGCTCGCAAGCAACGCCCTTGCTGTCGCAGCACCAGGCCTTCTTTTCTGGGGGCCAGCCCGCCTCCCAGTTCGAGAAGCCGGCAGCGCAGTCAAAGAGCTCCGAGGTGGTGTGCTCGCAAGCAACGCCCTTGCTGTCGCAGCACCATGCCTTCTTTTCTGGGGACCAGCCCGCCTCCCAGTTCGAGAAGCCGGCAGCGCAGTCAAAAAGCTCCGTGGTGGTGGTGGTGGTGGTGGTGGTGGTGGTGTGCTCGCAAGCAACGCCCCTGCCCTCGCAGCACCATGCCTTCTTTTCCGAAGACCAGCCCGCCTCCCAGTTCGAGAAGCCGGCAGCGCAGTCAAAGAGCTCCGAGGTGGTGTGCTCGCAAGCAACGCCCTTGCCCTCGCAGCACCATGCCTTCTTTTCCGAAGACCAGCCCGCCTTCCAGTTCGAGAAGCCGGCAGCGCAGTCAAAGAGCTCCGAGGTGGTGTGCTCGCAAGCAACGCCCTTGCCCTCGCAGCACCATGCCTTCTTTTCTGGGGACCAGCCCGCCTCCCAGTTCGAGAAGCCGGCAGCGCAGTCAAAGAGCTCCGAGGTGGTGTCCTCAGCGGCATCTTCTGGCGGGGCTTCAGGGCAGCCCAGGCCTCTCTGCTGGCAGCACCACTCGCGCTTCTCCGGCGTCCACCCTTCCTTCCAATGCGTCAGGTCGGCTTCACAATCAAATAGCACAGACGTGGTCGTAGCGCAGCCCCGCGAGTAGTGCTGGCAACACCACCGCCTCTTGCGGCTGGTCCACTTGCTCGAAGGGCCATCCTGACACTTGTACGGCGTGGTTGCAGGCGGGCACCCGACACCATTGCTTGCGCAGCACCAGGCCCTCTGCGCATCTGACCAGGATGAGGTGTCGTTGGATCGCCCGCCGTGGCATTCGTAGGAAGCTGTGGTGGTCGTGCAACCGACTGCATAGTGCTCGCAGCACCAGGAGGCCTTGCCAGCGGTCCATGCAGTCCTCCAGTGCTGGAGCCCGGCGTGGCAGTTGTGAGGGGCGGAGGTCGTCGACGCCAAACTGCTGCTCGAAGTGCTACTGGATCGAGCGCCCCTTGACCTGCTGGTGCTGGTGCTGGTGTGCCTCAGGGTCGAGCTGGCTGCAGTCGTGGTCGCGCACCCGAGCCCATTGTGCTCGCAGCACCAGATCCTATGCGCCGTGGACCAGGCTCCTGCCGCAGAGCAGTCGTACGCCAAGGCCGTTGCCGCAGTCGTGGTCGAGGAACCACAACCGATGCCCTCGAATGTGCAACACCACCTCCGCTTGGCATCCGGCCAGTCGGCTCCTGCAGAGTGCGGGCTTCCCTTGCGCCTGGACGAGATGCCCTTTGAGACGAAACTGTCGCACACATCCTGGCTGGACATGTCCGCGTTCGCCCTTGCCGCGACAAACTCCGCGTGGCTGAGCCCACCGTCACCGTCAGAGTCTGCGCCCATAAGCACTTGCAGCGCGTCGGGCGCGAGCAGCCCCTGCTGTTTGCACTCGTCCAGGTCCGTCCAGCTTACCACACCGTCCCCGTCCTGGTCGACAACGTCCCAGGCAACCTCCGCGGCGGCCACGCCAATCACCGCCTCGGGGTCCCAGTCGGCGCTGGGTGCAGCGCCGAGGTCGCTGAGCGCGGCCACGAAGCCGTCGCGGTCGAGGGGTCCCGAGGCCAGGCCTGCGACGTCTGCCTGGAGGGCGGTGCGCAGCTCCTCGCCCGAGACCTCGTCGTCCTCGTCCACGTCGGCGAGGGTCCACGCGGCGGTGGCGATGGAGGTGCTCGCGAGGAGCATGCAGCTGGTGGAATTGGGAGGGAAGGCGCGCCCCTGCTTCGATAGGGCGGCGACGAACTCGTAGTGGTCCATCACGCCGTCCTCGTTGGTGTCCGTTCCAGGCGCGCTCAGGAGCTGGATCACGGAGGTGGACAAGTTCTTGTCCCTGTCACACCTGGGGGCGGCAGGGGGGATGTAGGGGGTGAGCAAAGAAAGTGGGTAGAGGGAAGATGATACTGATGATGGTGATGATGATGATGATGATGATGATGGTGATGGTGATGGTGATGGTGATGGTGATGCTGCTGCTGCTGATGATGAGGAGGAGGAGAAGGGGGGAGAAGTGTCTCTGTTTCTCTCTCTCTCTCTCTCTAGCTTTCGTTGCTGTCTCTATATACATCTATGTGTACATATGGGCGTTGTTCCCCCGAGCGACCACTAAACGCACTCAAAATACGAAGCCGTAGAATCGGTCATTCCACGAAACTGCACTATGCCCAGGCACCCGTACTCCGGGTATCATTACTACAGGTCGCCCTTACTACAGGTCGCCCTTACTACAGGAGCCTCATCACTGCAGTATCGTTACTACAGTATCATTACTGCAAGCTCCCACGAACACTCATTATTATTAAAGTTCCCATACTGTAGGCCTCCTGACGAATGAGCCCTTACTGAACGGAATCCCGATAGAAAACAACTGTCAGCCAGCGCGGGGTCCACGTTGAGCACTATCGGGAATGTTACTTGTGTAAAACAATGTACGTAGCGCAGTCGGGGTGGTGCCAAGTATGTTGTGCAATCTACGTGGTGCAACATATGTTATGCGAAGTAAATGGTGCACTTCTGGGACAAACTATGGTGTGCAATCGACGTGGCGTAGTGTATGTTGTGCAATATGCGTGGTGCAATCTAGGTTGTGCAAAATCCGTCGCGCAATGTATGCACCGTTGCATAAGTACCGCAACCTATGTGGTACACCCTGCGTTGTGCAATCTGCGTGGTGCAACCAATGTGGTGCGCTCGACGTGGTGCAATCTATGTTGTGCAGTGAATATTTGACCGTCTTGAAACTGTCCTCCCCACTGCTCGTGCAAACATCCCACCCTCCCACCCGCAACTTGGTCGCAAGACCTCTTAAGACAAGACCGTGACGGTACGTACCACATGACGCTTGGCCACGACACCGACGCCGACGACGACAGCGACAACGACGACGACGGCGCCGCCGACACCGACTACAACGACACCGACGACGTCTCCAACGACTTCGACGACGACAACGACGACACCGACGACGACGACGACGTCAACGACGCCGGCGACGACGACGACGGCGACCACGACGACACCGACGACGTCTCCGACGACTTCGACGACGACACCGACGCCGACGCCGACGACGACGAAGACGACGACGTCGCCAACGAAGACGACGACGAGGGAGGAGGAAGGACGACGACGGCGACAACGACGACAACGACGACAACGACGAGGGAGGAGGGAGGACGGCGACGACGCGAAGGACGACGAACGAGGAAGGACGGCGACCTGACGACGACAACGACGAGGGAGGCGGGAAGACGACGACGACAACGACGACGACGACGGCGACGAAATAGGAGGGACGACGACGAGACGCCGACGACGGACGACGACGACGACGAGGGAGGAGGAGGAAGGACGACCACGGCGACAACGACGACGGAAACGACCACGACGCCAAAGAGGACGACGACGACGAAAACGAGGAAAGACAGAGGACGACGTAGGCGACGACGACGACGACGACGCGGGAGGAGGGAGGACGGCGACGACGACGACGACGACGACGCAAGAGCGCGCGCACGCACGCTTTTGTTGAAAAGGAGTGTTGCGAAACCTTGGGTTTTTGTAGGTTTTTGGGACACACGATTTTGAAATCCTTCCGAAACCGATGGGTTTTCGGCATACGCGCGCGACGACGCGCCCGTCTGCACTTCGTTTCATTTTTTGCAAAGGATTTTCGCGACGGCACACGCGCAAGGGTGTTCGACAGATTTCGACATGAGCGCGCGAAGCCCGTTTAATAGCATTTTGTGTAAATCTTGAAAAACCAATGGTTTTCTTAAGATTTCGCAAGAGCTCGCGCGGAAGCTTCTGTAGCAAATCAGCGTTGCGAAACCCACTGTTTTTGTATGTGTTTTGGAAACTCGATTGCGAAATCCTTCCGGCACCGAAGGTTTTTGAAGGATTTCGGCATGCGGGCGCGACGATGCGCGCGTGTACACTTCGTCTCATTTTCGTTGCAAACATTCGCGAACAAATGTTATGTTAGAACAACAAATGTCGCCGCATAGCGTTTGTCTAACAAAGGACCCTCAGGGGGGGGAACCCGGCCCCCCTGGGATACTGCAAATTCATATTTAGGATAGACATGTGGTCATAATCATATATGATTTACATACCCGAAAGGGGGAGTGATAACGCCGGGGGGAGGTAAATCTTATTCTGTTTTTAATAATCTTTGACCGTCTTGAAACTGTCCTCCCCACTGCTCGTGCAAACATCCCACCCTCCCACCCGCAACTTGGTCGCAAGACCTCTTAAGACAAGACCGTGACGGTACGTACCACATGACACTTGGCCACGACACCGACGCCGACGACGACAGCGACAACGACGACGACGGCGCCGCCGACACCGACTACGACGACACCGACGACGTCTCCAACGACTTCGACGACGACAACGACGACAGACGACGACGACGACGACGACGACGTCAACGACGCCGACGACGACGACGACGGCGACTACGACGACACCGACGACGTCTCCGACGACTTCGACGACGACACCGACGCCGACGCCGACGACGACGAAGACGACGACGACGACGCCAACGAAGACGACGACGAGGGAGGAGGAAGGACGACGACGGCGACAACGACGACAACGACGACAACGACGAGGGAGGAGGGAGGACGGCGACGACGCGAACGACGAAGAAGGAGGAAGGACGGCGGCGCCGACGACGACAACGCCGAGGGAGGAGGGATGACGATGACGACAACGGCGACGACAACGACGGCGACGAAATAGGAGGGACGACGACGAGACGCCGACGACGGACGACGACGACGACGAGGGAGGAGGAGGAAGGACGACCACGGCAACAACGACGACGCAATTGACCACGACGCCAAAGAGGACGACGACGACGAAAACGAGGAAAGACAGAGGACGACGTAGGCGACGACGACGACGACGACGCGGGAGGAGGGAGGACGGCGACGACGACGACGACGACGACGGCGACGACGCAAGAGCGCGCCCGCGCACGCATTTGTTGAAAATCCGTGTTGCGAAACCTTGTGTTTTTGTATGTTTTTTAGACACACGATGTTGAAATCTTTCCGGAACCGATGGGTTTTGAAGGTTTTCGGCATACGCGCGCGACGACGCGCGCGTCTGCACGTCCTCTCATTTTTTGCAGAAGGTTCTCGCAACGGCACACGCGCAAGGGCGTTCGACAGATTTCGACATGCGCGCGCGAAGCCCGTTTAATAGAATGTTGTGAAAATATTGAAAAACCGGTGGTTTTCTTAAGATTTCGCAAGAGCTCGCGCGGAAGCTTTTGTAGCAAATCAGTGTCGCGAAAACCACTGTTTTTGTATGTGTTTTGGAAACTCGATTGCGAAATCCTTCCGGCACCGAACATTTTTGAAAAATTTCGGCACGCGCGCGCGACGACGCGCGCGTGCGCACTGCGTCTCATTTCTTGCAGGGGATATCCGGAAAACTGTCATGTTAGAACAACAAATGTCACCGCATAGTGTGTTTTTATATAAAAAAAGACCCTCAGGGGGGGGAATCGGGCCCCCTCTGGGATAATGTAAATTCATATTTAGGGTGGACATGTGGTCATAATCGTATATGATTTACATACCCCAAAGGGGGAGTGGTAACGCCGGGGGGGGGAGATCATATTTTTTCTCTTTATAAAGGAGAATTCACCCTGCCGAACTTGACGTTGTCAAGAGTACTGTGTCGCGGCTCGTGTCACCCCAGCACGCGCCCAAGGGCGTTCGAACGATTTCGACACGCGCGCACGTGTTACGAAAATCTTGGACTAACAACAATTTTTGGTTGCGAAAAGCGAGCCAATTATTTTTGAAAATTCGTGTTGCGAGACCCTTTGCTTGTATATGTCTTTCCGACACTCGATGTCGAAATCCTTACGAAACCGAAGGTTTTCGACGGATTTCGGCATGCGCGCGCGACGACGCGCGCGTGCGCACTTCGACCCATTTATTGCAACAGTATTTTTGCAAACCGACGATTTCTGATAGTCGAGTGCGCGCGCATAGTATTTTCTGTTGCAGGGGATGGCGGGGGATGCGGATACCAGCTCAGTTTGGGTGATACGAGCTCATATTTAGGATGGACGACGGGGCAGAGACATATGCAATACGCAATACGGAAAAAAAAAGAAATCATACAACCGGGGAAGGGGAGATATTTTTTTTGAGAATGTATGTGGGGGTTGTAGACTCGGACTTCTCCTGATAACAAACAACATAAGCGGCGCAAGTTATGTTGCACAATCTACGAGCTGCAACCTATGCTGTGCAATCTGCGTGGAGCAATTCTTCCTGCGCAACCTATATTGTGCAATCTACGTGGTGCAAACTACGTAGTGTAATCCGTGTTGCGCGATCAACCAATGCTCGACTTGAAAACTGTCCACCCCACTGCTCGCGCAAACATCCCACCCACCCACCCGCAACTTGGCTTGCAAAGCTCATGTGGCGGCGACCGCGATGAGTGCTTGGCGCTGGCTGGTGTATCTCTGCGGCCGCGACAGCCCGCACACGCATGCGCGCGCAGCCGCCAGCTCCTTTGGCGCGACCGACGCAGCCGCGGTGGCATTGACCGCTGGGCACATCCCGGCGGGCACTTCAGTGCGAGACGGCGGCTTGGGCGGGCGCGGTATCATGACAACGTTGACCGGTCGCAAGACCTCTTGAAACCGTGACGGTAGGTACCACATCGCACTTGGCAACGACACCGACGCCGACGACGACAGCGACGACGACGACGACGCCGACGACGACTACGACCACACCGACGACGACTCCGACAACTTCGACGACGACAACGACGACGATGACGACGACACCGACGACGACGATGATGACGACGACGCTGACGACGACTCCGATGACGACGACGACGCAGACGACGACGACGACGCCGACGACGACGACGAAGACGACGACGACGACGGCGGCGACGAAATAGCAGAAACGACGACGAGACACCGACGACGGACGACGACGAGGAAGGAGGAAGGACGACCACGGCGACAACGCCGACGGAAACGACGACGACGCCAAAGAGGACGACGACGGCGACGTCGAGGAAAGACAAGCTGATCACGCCGACGACGATGACGGCGTTTTCGCGTCGGTGATGGAAGTTTTCGAAGAAATTCGACATACGCGCGCGGCAAACGCGCGAGCGTGGCTCGCATGGTACTTTTTGACACGCACCGTGCCACCCCAGCACGCGCGCACGGGCGTTCGAATGATTTCGACATGCGCGCGCGCGAAGTTGAAGCCCTTCGGTAGAACGTTATGTAAATGTTGAAAAAAAAGAGAAAAACACATACGGCGTTCTGAAGAATTCTCAAGAAAACGCACGTACGTTTTTGTTTGACAATCCGTGTTGCGAAACCATGTGTTTCTTTTATATGTTTGTTGGACAATCGATTTCGAACTACTTTCGAAACCGACGGTTTTTGAAGGATGTCGGCGTGCCTGCGCGACGACGCGCGCGTGCGCACTTCGTCTCATTTTTTGCTGCAAGGGGTTCTCGCGACGGCACTCGAGCAAATGCGTTCGAACGAATTCGGCATGCGCGCGCGAAGCCTGCTTGGTAGCATGGTATGAACATGTTGGAAAAACTTATTGCTTTCCTAAGAATTCACCAGGACGCGCGCGCATGTTTGTTTGAAAATCCGTATTGCGAAACCTTATGTTTATATATCTTTGGACACTCGATTTTGAAATCATTCAAGAAGCAAGTGTTCGACGGATTTCGGCACGCGTGCGGGACAACGCGCGCGTGTGCACTTGGACCCTTTTTGTTGCAAGGGAATTTTCGGAAACTTCGGATTTTTGATAAACGAGCGCGCTCGCATAGCATTTCGTGCAGAAGATGGCGGGGGGAGGCGATACCGGCCCCACTGGGATAGTGAAAACTCATTGTAAGGATGGGCGATGGGGCAGAATCGTATGTAAATTGCAATGCGAAAAGGTGGGTCGTTAAGTCCGGGAGGGGGAGGGTGGTAGAACCTATTCTCTTTTTTTAGAAAGGAGAACGTACGTGATGCGAAACGACGCGGCGGCGACGAAGCGGCGACGGGGCGACGACGGCGACGACATAACCGCCAAACCGATGCACAGGCCCGGACGATGGGCGGCAACGAGGCGGCAACGGGGCGGCGACGGCGATTATATATATATATATATATATATATATATATAGCCGCCACGCCGACGGACAGGCCCAGACGATGGTCGGCGACGGGGCATTGACGGCGACAAGTAGCCGCCAGAGAGCCTCAGTGCAAGCACTGTTTGGGGAATTCTTCTAGAGACTCCTGGCCAAAAGACCGGGCCCTCGGTGGCGCGAAGAGCCTCTTCGTGTCGGAGAAGTGGCGAAGCCGTGTATCATATGATGTTGCTTGTTTCTGTTGATCTATGGGTGTTGGAGTCGCTGCCGCCACCCGAAGCACACGGTGTATGTTTGATATTCGTGTGTGTGTGTTTCTTGTTGACTGGGAAGCAACGTAACACTGGATATGCCTTCCTTCGTTTTGGAAGCTCGTAGAGGGGTGCTGGGGGGAGGCCGCGGTGAGCACTGGAACCTGCCAGCCCAAACATCAAACAACAATGACAAAACAAACGAAACGCACATGGTTGTTCACTGCTTCCCTGACCGAAGAAAAACGTACGCAGCGCTTCGTGCCACTGAAGGCCCGCTCCTTTCAGTAAGGAGTCCATACTGCGGGTGTTTCTTATGTAAAGGTTTCTGTAAAGAGGACACCTTCATCAGGATGCCTTTTCTACGATGAGATCCCTACCCTAATAAGGACCCCTTTAACAAGCAAAATGAATGTTTAATAAGGATACCCTTTAGAAAGGATCCTTAGTAAGAGCCCTATGAAACAACAAGAAGAAATAATCATCCTGAGGAAGTATACCTGTAATATACAAGCAGTTCGTCCGTCAGGATCGCAGACTAATGGATTGGTTGCGCAAAAACCAGCAAGGAGATGAACGAAACGATTGTGCAGCGTCGTGAATCGACCGACTCTGCGGCTTCGTGATTTGAGCGTTTCGGGGGTTTTCTGGGGGGGATCGAGCACATATATATATATATATATATATATGTATATATATACATATATTCATATAGATTGATGTACATATGTATACCTGTATATATATATATATATACCTCTTCCAATATTTTTATAAACCCGGGCGGGGGGGAAACCCGTCACCCCCTCCCCCCAAAACCGGACTCCCGGGATCTGGGGCTTTGGGACCCTCCAGACGGGCCTCGAAGCGGCCACCGCGCCTCACATGGCGTTTTGCCAAGCCTTCCCAGCACACCTAGGGCGATCAGGGGGGTCATCGGAGACGTCCCAGAGACTCCCAAGACAGCACAAGAGCGCCCCAAGAGTGACCGACGTGACCTCAAGATGGCCCAAGAGGCCTCCAGGACGGCCCCAAAGAGGCCCATGGCGGCCCAAGATGGCCCAAAGACACCCTCCGAATAATTCCAAATCGTGATTCGGTCGTTCAGGGAGACCGCGGTTGGAGGCAGGGTGGCCCGAGGAAGCCCCCGGAGGCCCCCAGAATACGCCCAGGAGGTCTCCAGAAGGCCTTAAGAAAGCCTGAAACAACTTTTTGTGAGGCCCCTAGAGGCTCTCAGAGGAGGAGCCTCCGCAAAAAAGAGCTGAGGAGGATGGGGAGAATGCGCAGGCCATGGCGAAAATAAGGAAAAGAACCCATGGAGGAAGGATAACGAATAACATTATCACAGCGGCGATGCCAGAAAAGGCAACCAGGAGTTATTGCTAAATTGTCGGCTCGACCGTCCTCCTATTACGCCTGCATGCCAAACTTCAAAGATTAAGGTGCATGGCGCGAAGCGCCACTGCAGGCTTGTACATAGGTGTGTATATATCTATATATCTCTGCATATTGCTACATGTACATATGTATGCAACCTACAAGCGTCCATTTCTCCTTTCACATTGGCCGGCACCAGTCGGAGAGGGAAAAACATGATGATTATGAGACCCCAAGTCAAGGACCAACACTGAGCATCCGACCTCCGAGGCAATTTATACAGCAATACAAGCTTCCTCCCCACTCAGCATCTGTGACCGAAGATGATGAACAAGACGAGGAACAGGAAATGACTGGGCGGATGAGGAGGAAAGAAAGACGGGCAGGTGGAGCTGAATGTGCTATGATTTGGGATGAAGATTCCTCTCGCGAGGATGAATGGAGAAGGAGAGGAATCGGGAGGATATTGAACAACAACGCGCTATTCAAAATGTGGACCAGCCCGACCAAAGGAGCGACTCCGTGAGTGTCCAGGGGCCCCGAACAAGGCAGAAACGTCCGTTTGTGCGTCACGGCGCTTAGGTACGATGGTCATCCTCATTATCCTCTTCGCCATCCTTCTCCTCTTGCTCCTCCTTCTCCTTCGCCCTCCCCCATGCCTGCAGAAAAACCTATCCCCCACAACAACTCCAAACTTCCTGGCCTCAGCCGTTTGATGCCCACCAGCACCGAAGTGAGGTTCCCTGGGGTCTCTTCGTGCTAACATCCTTATGCGCTCCTCTGCCTCTTCCATCTTCTCATCCTCTTCCTCCACCTCTTCGTCCTCCTCCTCCGTTCTCCAACAATCAATCTCCAGACCGTCGGGTTTTTCGAGCCAGCGTCATGGCAGGCTCGCCAGCGACCCAACACCAATACAAGCACATACATACATAAAAAAACACTGGCCGAAAATCCCTTCGACTCCGGATTCGCCAGCTTCCTCTCTGCGCCTCCTCCCCCTCCTCCTCCTCCTCCTCCTCCTCCTCCTCCTCCTCCTCCTCCTCCTCCTCCTCCTCCTCCTCCTCCTCCTCCTCCTCCTCCTCCTCCTCCCCCCTCCCCCTTCTCCTCCTCCTCCTCCTCCTCCTCCTCCTCCTCCTCCTCCTCCTCCTCTTCTCTCCCCCCTCCTCCCCCCTCCTCTCTCCCTTCCTCCTGCCTCCTCCCTCCGTCCGCGCGCCGAAGGCCTGTGCAAATCCCGTCGCAGAACCCGCCCGTCCGCGTCGCTGTCCAGGACCGACCAGGCCGCCTGCGCCGCACCGGGGGGCTGTGTGCGATCGGGGCGAGGGCTAAAGTGAAGTCGGGCCTGTCCCCCTACAGGGGGATTTTGAACGAAAAGTTGTAAGTAGCCAAAAAATACCACAAAAATATTCAAACATGGTATGAAAAACATCTGCCCGAGACTATTTTTTTACTATTTTTGAATATTCCTCCTGTAGAGGGACAGGCCCGACTCAAGGCCAAAGTCAACCCGCATAATCCGCCACAGCGCTTGCAGCGGCAGGCGGTCGTGGGGCCCCCACTCTCTCCCCACGAAGCAATTGTTGGGGCCCCCCGACGCGTGCAGCCCAAGGCGCGTGCACTTTTATAAGGATTGTCCCTGCGTGTTTGGCCTTCCAGTGATGGGCATGTTTTCCACCACCACCACCACCACCATGAGTTGGAGAGGGGAGGAGGTGGAGGATAAGGAGGAGGAGGAGTAGGAGGAAGAAGAAGAAGAGGGGGAGGAGGACCCCCTCCCCCCTCCAACTTATGGTGGTGGTGGTGGAAGACAGGCCCATCATCCAGGCGGAAGCTGTGCCCAAATACGAGGTCGGGGGAGGGAAGCTCAATGGATTATTCCCCGCCCCCCCCGCAGCGCCCGCCCCCCCTCCCCCCGGGGTGCCCGCCCGAGCGCGCTGGCAGAATCGCGCGGCACCGCCACCGGATAAGCCGCACGATACGGATGCAAGGGCCTCGGAAGGCCATGTCGGCACTATGCGAGCGGAGTGCGGCCGCCGAAAGCGGCCAGGGATGGGCCGAGGAGGAGGGATGCAAGGGTAACCTTTGGAGTCGCTCGTCCTTACAGTGCAGGTTGACTGTAGGAGCTCATTCTGGGGACCTCCCTGGAGTCACTCGCTCCACTCGCGCATCGACGCTGCATCGAACGTCTAACGGCTCGAGTCGAGCTTGGGTCGGACATGAGTCGAACCTAAATCAAATCAGAGTCGAAGCGGAGTCGAACTGGCGTCGAACTGGGGTCGAACTAGAGCCAAACAGATCCGTTGAGTGGGCCCAAGGGAGGTCCCCCCAAACAAGCATCGTGCGAGGGGGGAGGGGAGGGGTCACGTTCGGGCGTTGCTTACTGAAGGGGGGAGGGGGGGGCGATGCACGGGGAGGGGGGGGGCGAAGAAGCGTGCATGTTTGAGGCACCCCAAATGCACAAAATGTCAACCGTTCTTCACCCCCCCCCCCCCATGTGTAGCGCCCCGGCCCCCCCCCAGTACGCAACGGCCGACGCATGCTGTCTCAGGAAATCCGACAAGATGGGGGGGTGCACCGGGGGAGGGGGGGAAAAACGAGGCGAAGAGGGATGGGAGAAGGTGAGAACGGGGTGGTATAGGAATAATGGGAAAAGGGATAATAGGGATAATAAGGATAATAGGGATGAGGAAGCCGAGAGATGGAGGAGAATCCCTTCCTCTCTCTTCATTCTTCATCCTCCTAAGCGCGCGCTCTGGCGCGCGTCTTCCTCATTGTCCTTCCTCTCTTCATCCTCTCCATCCTCCCCCTCCGCCTTCAACTCATCCCCCAGTGTGCGCTCCCGCGCTCAGGGGATGATGATGATGACGACGGCGAAGATGAGGATGATAATGGTGATGATGATGCTGATGATGATGGTGATGATTATGCTGCTTATGATGGTGGTGGTGGTGCTGGTGATGAAGAGGTGGAGGAGGGAGGAGGAGGATGAGGAGGAGGAGCGGCCAGGCATCAAACGCCTCGAGACAATCGCGAATGCCAAATCTTGCAAGTTGTGGGGCTGTGAAGGGATCGTTCCGGGACCCGGGGGGGAGACAAAAAACCTGCGCGTGAGGAGACACCAGGCCCGGGGCAGGGCTCGAGCTTCCGGGTCCCACGTCGCGAGCAGAAGCGTGACGCCGGAGGTCCAGGGGGAGCAAGGATGCGGGTGGCCTCCGCCTCCTCCACCTCCAGGTCGCTCATTTCTGACCGTGTTCATTTCTGGTTGTGCTCGTTTCTAACTGTTCCCGGCCCCCCAGTGGCCAGGAAGAGGCCCAGGATGGACCAATCAGAAATGAAAGGCTCTTGGCCCCCCCACAATAATCAAAGAGCTCGAAGAATTAGACATGACCAGAATGTGTCCTCCTCTTTTGTTTTTTTTATTTTTTTGGGGGGGGGCTCATCTCCACTGCTGGCTCCGGTTTTTGACCTCCTGGCCAGGCGGCGCCCCGCAACAAAAACGCCTGCGGGGAACGCGGTCTGAGGCGGAGCGGTGCGGCGAGGGGGCGGCCACCGCCGCGCCGAGGCGGCAGCGCAAAGGGGGACACCCAGCACGGGCCGCCTGGCGGAGCAGCTGCCGTGCGGAGGCCTCCGCACGGCAACTGCTCCGCCAGGCCGCCCGTGTTGGGTGTCCCCACTGTAGGGGGCCACATGCGAACCCTACCCTTACCCCCCACGACTTCTGAGGGGGGTCGGGGTAGGGTTCGCATGTGGCCCCCTAAAGTGGGGACACCCAATCGCGGGCGGCCTGGCGGAGCAGCTGCCGTGCGGAGGCCGCCGGGGATCCTCCCGAAGCTGCAGGGCGGATCCGCTGCAGGGCGGACGGCCAGCGGGGGCCTCCCTGGACCGACGCAGGGACGGCCGGCGTATCGCGCAGGGATGGCTCCAAATCGTCAGGACGCCCGCCGTCGGGGTCTTCCACGATCGACCCATTGGCCCGGGTACTGTGTCAACGGAGTCACCTCAGATGGTGTAGTCGGTGAGGGCCAGGCAGGTCCCAACAAATCGTGGTGGGCGTGTTTCCCACCACCACCACCATAAGTTGGAGGGGGGGGTCCTCCTCCTCCTTCTCCTCCTCCTTCTCCTCCTCCTCATCTTTCCCCACTCCAACTCATGGTGGTGGTGGTGGAAAACAGGCTCATCAAATCGAGTGGAACAACCTGGTCGGACCAAGGGTGAGAACATCCGCCAAAGTACAGCACACAGAAGGCCGACACGTCATGTTGCTGCGTGCGATCCCCACTGCGCAGATGCGGCATATGAGTGGGCTCTCCAGTGTGAGATGGTGTATGGCTCATTCTGTCTAGTACTTGCACATGTCCTGTATCCTCGGTAAGCGCGCGGTTCCACATTATGTGTGCGCGTGTGCGTGACAAGCATCGGTTATGCACGCTTGCCAGTATGGCAATTCCTGCCGTCATGCATGTGCGCTGTGTGTTGCGTGCATGCGTCTTGTTGCTGGTGTATGCAACTTTCATGTGTGAGAGCCATTTGTGAGAGTTGGTGGTGCCTGTAACGCGTTCTGGACCTTAGTGTATGTCATGCATGTCTACTTCTTCCTGGGATCACTGGTATGCGTCCGGTACGGGGGTGAGGAGGGGGAGGGCGGGCCCCCGTGGGGGGTGACGGCAACGTGGTCGGGGCCCACGTGGACGACGACGACGATGACAACGACGGGGACGAAGTCAAGCGAAGAACGAGGACGAGCACGAGAACGAGGACGACGATGACGATGGCGACGACGACGGCCGCATCTGAAGGCCTCCAGAAGTCTCCAGAGGCCTCAGGTGATCTCCAGGGGCCTCTGTAGGCGTCTGGAGGGCCCTCGAGGCCATCGGAGACGACGGCAGCGACGACGACGACGACGACGGCAACGACGGCGACGACGTCGACGGTAACAACGACGGCGGCGAAGGCGAGGACAGCAACGATAACGACGATTGCGGTGATGAAAACGAGGACGAGGACGACGACGACGACGACGACGACGACGACGACGGCAACGACGACGACGACGACCACGACGACGGCCGTCTCTGGAGGCGTCTGGATACCTTCCGATACTTGTCAGCACCACACCATGCCTGTGAGCACGGCGCCATGCCAGTGGCGGGGCCGCCCCCCCCTACGTTCGTTACCGTTGCGGGGGAGGGGGGGGGGGGGGCGACCTCCCCGTAACGGACGTTACGGTTTCAACGAATCAATCACCGGACAGCTCGCCCCTTGGCCCCCCGCCAACCCCACGCCAAGGGGCGAGCATATATACAGGCGCAGAACCGCGCTGGATGCGTAGCTGTCGGCTGGGCCAACCAAGCGAATGACGCATCGCGTGGCGGCTGGATGCCCGCGCCGAGCACAGCTCCTCTCGGTTCCTCCCTCCTCCTTCTCATCCTCCCCCGCTAGCTAAAAACTGCCACCGAAATATCCTCACCCGCTGGCTTCAAACTGCCACCGAAATATCCTCACCCGCGGGCTTAAACATGCCACCGAAATATCCTCACCCGCTGGCATAAAACTGCCACCGAAATATCCTCACCCGCTGGCTTGAAACTGCCACCGAAATAACCTCACCCGCTGGCTTAACACTGACATCGAAATATCCTCAGCCGCTGGCTTAAAACTGCCACCGAAATATTCTCTCCCGCTGGCTCACAACTGCCACCGAAATATCCTCACCCGCTGGCTTAAAACTGCCACAGGAATCTCCTCACCCGCTGGCTTAAAACTGCCACCGAAATATCCTCTCCCGCGGGCTTAAAACTGCCACCGAAATATACTCAGCCGCTGGCTTAAAACTGCCACCAAAATATCCTCACCCGCTGGCTTGAAACTGCCAACGAAATACCCTCACCCGCGGGCTTAAAATTGCCACCGAAATATCCTCACCCACGGGCTTAAAACTGCCACCGAAATATCCTCGCCCGCTGGCTTAAAACTGCCACCGAAATATCCTCACTCGCTGGCTAAAAACTGCCGTCGAAATATCCTTACCCGCTGGCTTAAAACTGCCACCAAAATATTCTCACCCGCGGAAATAAAACTGCCATCTAACGGCCTAGTGGTTCAGTTCCGTCAGTCTGTCTGTCTACCTCGCGAGAATCATATTTACGGGCTGAGCCCGTAAAAAACAGTCTCTCATTAATGTGTGTTATTGGTGTATGTCCTTTCTGTCTATATGTGAGGTACACACTGCCATATGTAGTGGGTGTGCTTAAGTGGTACGCGGTTATGGTATATTCTTGGCGTGTG